AATTTCAGGCTAAAAGGTCTCAGAGCAGGTCACACAGAGCAGACTGTACACCTTCAGAAAGGAGATACATAGAGGAAAAGTGGTGTCAAGGAAAAGGTATCCTAAATGTTTCAGGGAGGCAGCTGGGGTGAATGATTCCTTAGCTTAGGTCAAGCGTTTCTGTCTCCATCATGAGGACAGTAGACTATGTGTGCCCTTTGCTCCATGCTGTCTCACTTCCAAGTTTTCAAACTAAGCCCATACATTGCCCATTTTCCTCTAATGGCTTTTTTTCCCAAATGCAACCCTGGCACTAGAGCATCCCAACTATCAAGGGAAGCTCATTCATCACAGTTTTACTTTTAGTGTCAAATTATATGTTTCCCTTCCTTGGACTGCATCATCATCATAATCCTTATACTTGTATTCCCAGACTGGTGCCATGGAGACCATCATTATCACACACTTCTGTATTTTGTTGTTATAATGAAAAAGTGTACAGGCAAAACTAGCATATGATTAGGAGTTCAGGTTTCAGACATGAAAGCTTGAAACCTGAGATACTTTTCCACTAATAGAAATACTACAATTTGTGCATGACATACACTAGTAATTAATGGGATCTTTTTCAAGTTTTTGCCGAAGTGGAAAAACATTGGACCTGGTTACACTCTTGTATCTTGGCATGAAAACCCTGGGTATCAAGATGAAAACCAAAGGGCTTGAAAAACATTTTCTTATCTTGGGAAACATGTTGCCCAGGACTCAGGAGTGTGAACTAGTTTCTTACCTCTGGATGGTAAGCCCTTCTGTATGGGAAATTACATTCAAAGCTGTGATAACTTTTCCAAGAATTCATTTTCCTCTCCTTGCCAGTAAGTTTTTCTTCCTCATTAGTCTACTGCCCAAAGAGGATGGCTTCCAGGAAAAAATTAATATTTGCTGAACCTCTTCACAGACTGGCACTGTGCTGTGCACCTTTATGAATGGAAATAAATTTAACCTTCAAATATTAGTATTTTAGATTACAACCAAGAAACTCAGGATAATCACTTAGTATGTCTAAAGCCAGGCAACTTAGATATGGAAGAGTCATACAGAAAATTGTTTGGGTATCTAAGACTGGATACCCAAAGGGTTGTTAGAGCCTTGTATAGATAGGAGAAGAGTCTAAGAAATCTCTTGGAGGAAACTTTTAAATTGATGGAAAGTTTTCTGGCTTATCTTATTAACCATAGAGTCACTCTTTCACCTCCTTGAAAATGTGTCCTTACTGGTCTTTTTTTTTTCCCCTTGGGTCATCCTTATATCTCAGTCATGTAAATATCGAAGGCATTAGACCTTGTCAAAGACAAAATGACTGGTTACTTTTCATAATGTAGATGAAAAACAATCTGTAATTTAAGTGAAGATGCAAGACTCCTTCCCAGAAGAAAGGTTTTATTATGGTTATTAGTCTGTTTCTTTTTCCACATGTGTGTCTGAGTTTGATTTTCAGTTGTTTCGGATCATAGTGACTGTTTTATCATCAATGATCAGAGTGGATCACAAGAAAGACTACTGTGGGCCATGATGCTAAAGGCTCAAGAATGCCTCCTCCCCAGCCTTTCTCAATACTAGGAATGGAGACCAGAGCCTTGTGCACTGACCTGCATCTTTGGACCTTTTATATTTTTATTTTGAGTCAGTCTCTCTGCATTATTAAGTTATGCCAGCTTTACTTGAACTGTCAATCTTCCTACCTCAGGCTTCCAGAGGGCTGTGATGGCAATGGGTGTATAACCACATTTATCTAAGGAATGATTGCTCCTTTTGAAAGAAGCTCACACTCCATTGGTAGTTGAGCTACTTAGATGAAGGAGGAAATGTTTTATTGACTCAAGCAACATAAATCATCTAAGTGTCAAGCCAGACTGTAAGAAAAGACTATCTACCACCAGCTCTGTAAGCCTGGAGGAGTCAACACTGGGTATTAAGATTTCTGTGGAAGGATTCCCAGAGCCCTCTAGAAGCGCAGCACAGAGGGAAACACTTGAGTCTTTTATGATTTAATTCCAATAACAACTCCATTCGGCACACTTGATATAATCTGGTCCCCTTTCAAAGATAAGTAAATGAGGCTCTAGATGGGGAAAAGAGTAATCATCCTAAAGCATCCAATTATTATTTCTAGAAGGACCCTCAGTCTAACTCTTGCCCAGCTCTTGAGTTCATCTTAAAGTCTGTATGTGAAACATGTTTTGCTAGAAGAGATTTCTAAAGAAGTCTGTGAAAGTCTACTGATCTATCACTCAGAGATTCTAAATGGTTCAGTCAGCCTGGCACTCTGATGAGCTTTCATGTCATAGCTTCAGAGTGTCTGAGAAGACTCAGCTGCTCAGAACATAAAGCATCTTGAGTTCACATGCTGGTGCTGTGCTCAGACCCACGTTTTCCATTAATGTGTGAGTTTCAATTACCTTCATGTACAAGCCAGCCTGCTGTGATCTAACTGTGTATGGCTGGCTCATTGAAGTATAGATTTAAATCATGACTTCCACCAGTTTACAGAAATAAAACTTCTCTGTTCACATTCCCTTTACTCGTGACACCACGGTAACTGAGTACCAAATAGAAACCTAAATAAATAATCTGTGGATGTCTTTCATATCAGAGCTACATTTGACCATGAAATTTAATTTTCTTTTCTTCTAAAATGTTTGATATTCATTTTTATTTGTGAAGGGATTAATGACTTTTCAGGTCAGTAAAGTTGGTAAGATATTGTTACATTTTATGAAAATCTTACTTAAGTATAAAACAATAAGAAGACAGTAAACTTACATTTTGAAATCATTTATTTTAATTTGTAAATTTAACTGCTGATATAGGAGAGTGGCTTAGTGATTAATTTAGAAAAGTAAACAATATATAGCAGGCCAAATTTTAATTGGCAAGTTTACCCTTCTCTTTAGCAATAAGAGCAAATTATTCCAACCATACAGAAATCATAAAATATAGGAATGAAGGATAACTGTTTTGCCTTCTGTCCACTGAGGTGCTGGTAGTGAAAGGCTGAAAATCTGTCTCTGCAAGGCCCGATGAAGCCAGAGAAAATGCACACCTTACCTACTGCAGTATTCAGAATGTTTGCTCATCTTATATGAGGCTGAATCTGCCATTTTTGGTCCCACAGAGAATACACTAGATTTTCCTTAACCTAATGTCTGCACATTTAATTTTTAGAGTGTAAGATATTGTTTCTTATTACAGAAACAAATTTATGTTGCTGAACCATTTTAAAGCCTGGCAGTTTGGGGCCTCCTAGGATGTTGTTGAAAGCATTCTACTGCTTCTTGTTTTTTTTTTTCTTCTATTGCTGGTGGTGCTGAGGATTGAAACCAGTGCCTTGCACTAAGATATATCCCCAACCTCTTTTTTTGTTTTATTTTTGTATCGTGACAGGATCTCACTGAGTCACAGGTTTGCCCAGGCTGGGCTCAAAATTGTAAGACCACTGCTTCAGACTCCCAGAAAGCTGGGACTGTAGGCCTGTGTCACCCCTCCTGTTTAAATTACTGCTTCTCAATCTACAAACAAACAAGCACACAAGAAGATATCTGTGCATGTGTGTGTGTCTGTGTGTGTGTGTGTGTGCACACACGTGCAATTTGATGGAGCATAATCAAATTTTTGTTGTTATATAATATCCAGGTTTTCCCTCCAGGAAATATATTCTGGAAAAATATTGGAGGCTAGCAGACAAATTTGTGAATGAGGAAACATTTTAGGGGCAAATCTTATAAAAGATTGACAAATACATGAAAACCAACATCTGGAATTTTAGTTAAACTTTTCCCAGAGTATAGTTCAACTATTTGTTCAACAAATATTTATTAAACATCTGCTGTATATCTGGCCCTGGCCCTGGAGAGGCAGAGATGAATCAGATAAAACTCCCTTTTCTCTGGAAGTTCACCGTCTTAGTGAGGTCAAAGTGGTTATGTCAACAAATCATGAGAGAGGAATGACTAGGATACCAATTTCTATAGGAATTCACAGTGGAGGAAGTCGCAAAGAAATGGGTGGTGAAGAGGTCTAGGGAGGCCTCCTAGAAGAGGTAACTTTGGGATTCGGTTTCAAGTTTTGACAAGTTTTACTCACTTGATAAAAGGAATAGATTTGGGGACAGAGAGTGATGAGTGGAGAGAGACTCAAGGAGTATGGAAAATCATGGCAGACTTGGAAACTAAAAATTATTTCTCCATTTGGGGCTGCGTCAATTCATGTGAGAAGAAGCAGGATGTGAAAAGAGGCAGGGTATGAGGCTGGCAGGCAAGATCTAACGTAGGTGAAGGAAGCAGTTGGCCCACTTTGTAGATGCGGACTGTGTTACATGGACAAAGAGAAAGTAGAGGTGTTTTAAGTGGGAGAGGCTGATGTGTTTAACCAGGGTGGTTGATTATGTTTCAATTTCATACAAACGCTGAATCTACTGCAAAGTTTATATCGTATTTCCACTTTAAAGAAGGTATTTTCTTTTAAGACTGACTCATAACTGGGTGAATTGTTTAGGCAAAATTGATGGGAGAGTTTGGAGTTCCTCTTAAAAACGAATAAAACTTGCAACATCCTTGCAATGAAGCAGGCAAAAACATGAGCACGGCTTGTGCTCACAGTCATTGAAATATTTAATTATATGATATGATTATTTAGAGTACAAATCTGAAGCTCATGGCGTTCGAGGCAGAGGGTGAACACTCAAGCAGAATCTGCTGTGGTTAACTTACCAGGGAAGGCATTCAGTACCCACCAACTGGGAAAGAGCAATTTCTGAGTTTTGTTCCAAAATGCAGATTGTTCCATGATGCTATCAAGCCAAATGTCTATTGCCTCTATAGATAATAAAAGAACAAGTAGGCAGAATTGTGGATGTTAACCTTTGCAGTGAAAAGGATATGCTCAAATCTGGCAAGCTGAATGCAACTGTGACTGTAACAGTCTTGATCTGAAAGCACCCCTTCTCCCTCCTGTTCTAACAGATAACACAGCAGGTGTCTATGCCCGGCGTGGAGGCTTCAGTCGGCAGAAGCAGGACTTATACCTCTTGCCCATAGTTATCAGTGATGGTGGCATTCCACCCATGAGTAGTACCAACACCCTCACCATCAAAGTCTGTGGGTGCGACGTGAATGGCGTGCTGCTGTCCTGTAATGCTGAGGCCTACATCCTGAATGCTGGTCTGAGCACAGGCGCACTCATCGCCATCCTTGCCTGCATCGTCATTCTCCTGGGTAAGGGATCTCCCTTGTCACTTAGTACAACCAGATGTGCATCCTTGACCATGTAGTTCTCAGTTATGAGCTGGTTACCAGGCCATGTGCTGCACTGTGGACATGGCTTAAAAGAAATAAAAGTAAGAATATCCTGGTCACATGAGTTGTATAGCACAGCAGGCATGGCGTGCAATTTAATAAGCATGCAAGTGAAGGGCAGGAAAGGCTATGATGACCATTTTGCCAGACATCATAGACGTACACAGTGGAAGATGCCATCAAGGGGCTGGAAATGCATCCAAGAAATAGTTTGCAGATAACGAATTTAAGCAGGGACCTGGTGTATGAGGAAATGTTTTGTCTCATAAGAGAAAGAAAAAAGGTTAATAAGGGGCAAAAAGAATATTTACAACCTTAAAGATAGTGCAGGCAGGAATCAAGGAACAGGATGAAGGTTTTCTGGATGAAACCAGGCTGGACCTTCCCTGTCATTAGCATCTAGAATATCTGTGTGCACATCTTAGTTTATTCAGATCCCTTGGAGATTTTCCTGCACTTGGCCGCTGAGATAGGCTCCCCTCTTTTGCACTTCAGTCCACCCATGATCCACTCTGTAAAAAAGCCACATGCAGATGCTAAGATATTCTCCCTCTGCTGGATCTCAGGGAGATTCAATCATTCGCCCTAAGTGCTCAGCACACTGATTGACAAAAGTTACCATTCAAACTCAGATTTGTCTGACATCAAACATTCTTTTATCAAGATGTTTAATTCTCCACTGAATTAATGATGGGGCTGACTCCTTAGGAAGGAGCCACTGAACTCAGTTCAAAAATTAGTAGTGCAGTATTATCTGGGAACCAGGCCCCATATTAAACCTTGAGGCGATAAAAAAAAATCTTGCGCAAGATTTCTGTGCTGGATGAGGCTATAGTCTATCAAAGAAGGTATGCATGAACAAACAAACAGAGATACCGGATAAGTGCTTAGAGAGAAGTATATACAAAGGACATTGCCTGCAGAAAGCAAAATGTACTTGCCGTTGCTTGAGGAAGTTCAGAGACTTCTTCTTGGAAGACATAACATTTATGTCAGAAAGAGAAAGTGTTTCCTAGCTGGTGAAAGGGGCTGGGATGGTTGGGTATCCAGGCAGAGTGAACAAAAGAAGAGGAGCCCTGAAGAATGCATATGAGGATTGACAAAAGTGTAAATCACATGATGGATGTTATGAAGATGGCAAGAACAGATGGGTGTGTAGAAAAGCAGGTGCATAGCCTGTCTGGTGTCAAGGTAGGAAATCAGTAAAGATTTCCGTAATGAAAGATAAGAAAGAATCACCCAGGCAAAGAGAGTGAAAAGGAATGATAGGTGTTGGGGTTGAAAATGCTTTCATGAACAAATCACAGAGCTCTGAGACCCATGAAGACCCCCATAAAGGCTGGGCCCTGTCCCTGCAACTTAGAGTGGTGTGGACCCAGGGAAATTTCAGTTCCCTTTCCAAAGGCAACCACAAACATTTCCTTCCATCTTGATGAATGTGTGAGGGAATCTTCTTGGTAGGGTTGAGAACAAATGGAGAGAACTGATACAGAAGTAAGCAGTGTCTCAACTCTCTTTATAAATGACTGCTCATTCTCCTACATTGTTCATTCTAATGGAACACCTCACCCAGAAAAGGTACTGGATTGTGTTTTTATCTAGATATGCGATTTTTAAAATTTAATTAAGTAGAAGGTTATTCTTCTGGTGTTTTTTTAAAATAAATATGCTCTCTACCCACACGCATGCTAAGGTTTCTATTGTTATAGAGCAGGGCTCATGCTTCTCCCCAGACCTCTGGGAAGGATATAGTTTTCAGTCTTAGAAGAAGGCCCTGAGTTCTCTAAAGGTCCTCATTCTTAAATGTGAGAATCCAGCCAGCTCCATTTGCAGAAGCAAATAACAGCATTAGGCTTCTTTAAGTAACTCCAAGCCAACACTTTTAGAATCTTCCTATTTCTTAGGAAAAAGACTTCCAAAAAGCACTGGGATTCATGTGGCAAAAGTTTAAAATAGTTCCAATCTGCCAAGTTACTGCACATAATGTTTACCTGGCAGCATTTTGCACCAACAGAGACAGGCAAAGGGCAGGTCTGCATGTCTCTGGGAATTCCGGGCAGCACTCTCATTTCCTAGGATGCACCCGGTTTCTGAAGCATTTGCACATTTAATGGTTTACAGAAAGCTGAGCTCCTCTAGGAAGGGAATCCAGGGAAACTGGGCTTCACCTAAGCTTATTTTCTTTCATTTTTTCCCCCTTGTAGTCATTGTAGTCTTGTTTGTGACATTGAGAAGGCAAAAGAAAGAACCACTCATCGTTTTTGAGGAAGAAGATGTCCGTGAGAACATCATTACTTATGATGATGAAGGAGGTGGTGAGGAAGACACAGAAGCCTTTGATATCGCCACCCTCCAGAACCCTGATGGTATCAATGGCTTTATCCCCCGCAAAGACATCAAACCTGAGTACCAGTACATGCCTAGACCTGGGCTCCGGCCAGCACCCAACAGCGTGGATGTGGACGACTTCATCAACACCAGGATACAGGAGGCAGATAATGACCCCACCGCCCCGCCCTATGACTCCATCCAGATCTATGGCTATGAGGGCAGGGGCTCCGTGGCTGGGTCCCTGAGCTCCTTAGAGTCTGCCACCACAGATTCAGACTTGGACTATGACTATCTACAGAACTGGGGACCTCGTTTTAAGAAATTAGCAGACTTGTATGGTTCCAAAGACACTTTTGATGATGATTCTTAACAATAAAGATACAAATTTGGCCTTAAAGAACTGTGTCTGGCGTTCTCAAGAATCTAGAAGATGTGTAAACAGGTATTTTTTTAAATCAAGGGAAGGCTCATTTAAAACAAGCAAAGTTTTACAGAGAGGATACATTTAATAAAACTGCAAGGACATCAAAGTGGTAAATACTGTGAAGTATCTTTTCCCGCATAAAGGAAAATATTGAAGTTGTTTGTCAACTTCACTAGAGAAAAACCACTTGGCATACAAAATATTAAAGTGAAGGAGAATTCTAACGGTGAACTCACAATGAAGGGAAATCGTTTGTGCGTTATGAACATCTAAGTCTTTCTTCTTCTTCTTCTTTTTAATTTGTCAAAGAAGCTTCCACAAAATTAGAAAGGACAACAGTTCTGAGCTGTAATTTCGCCTTAAACTATGGACACTCTATATGTAGTGCATTTTTAAACTTGAAATATATAATATTCAGCCAGCTTAAACCCATACAATGTATGTACAATACAATGTACAATTATGTCTCTTGAGCATCAATCTTGTTACTGCTGATTCTTGTAAATCTTTTTGCTTCTACTTTCATCTTAAACTAATACGTGCCAGATATAACTGTCTTGTTTCAGTGAGAAGCGCCCTATTTCTATGTCATTTTTAATGTATCTATTTGTACAATTTTAAAGTTCTTATTTTAGTATACATGCAAATATCAGTATTCTGACATGTAAGAAAATGTTACAGCATCACACTTATATTTTATGAACATTGTACTGTTGCTTTAATATGAGCTTCAATATAAGAAGCAATCTTTGAAATAAAAAAAGATTTTTTTAATTCTGGGTTTGATTCTTAACATTGAAAAAATTAAGGATTTATAATGATCCATTTATATTTCTAATTTAATTGTGATCTTTGGTAATCCTATTTATGATCTGTTATAGTCTGTCTGTTGCTTTGGTTGCTTATTTAAAATCAAATATATTTGATAAATGTTTTTTTTTTTTCTCAGACAAGATTCTGTAACGTCATGTAAACCATGTTTGTAAGCTCTTGGTGTTAGCCTCCTGGCTTGTTTTTGCACATCTCTTCTAGAGAAGAAGGATGCTAGGCATGTAGATCACTCTATGATTTTGCAATATGTTATATAACATGCATTTATCTTATATATCAATACTGCCCTATTTATGAGAGATGAATCCATGAGGGAATGGAGGCTATCAGAGTTCTTAATGTTTGAGGTGTAGATTTCATGCCCCACCTGGAACATTTGGGAGTTGTAAGGAAGAGTAACATGTCAAAATATTAATTTTCCCCTCGATTCCAATATTATTCTTTTTTTCTTTATATTGTTCGTACTAGGGTGTTGTAGGACTCCGACAGTAGAAACTGCTCATTTCCCCTCCTGTTATTTTTACTTAAAGTGAGGTGGCATTTTAAGTTTTGATAAGAGAAAGAGAACTTCACTTTAAAAATTTTGTTTTCAAATATGCTTTGAGCTGTAAGCTTCAAATGAAAGCAGGGATAATGTTGCATTTGGAGGGTTAATTCCATTTGAATTGCTGATATGGCAGGGTCATCTGAAATCCAGTCTTGCTTCCCATGGACTAGGACTATGTAAAGGAGATTTTACTTGTATAGTTGGGCCAAAGGTCAAAACATAGCAATACTTGGGGAAAGATCACAGAAAATCATGCTGTAAGCGCTTTCCCTCTTTCCCCCTAAACACTACAGGGCACATGTTTTTTTCTTGGATTACCGACAGTTTTTAGATTATCTTCTTCTTTTTCTTACTTTTTGTGAAAGTTTGTTTCAAGCATTTCTCGGTACCTTGTTATATACTATTTTTATGATTCAGTCAAAATGCATACAAAGAGAAATGTTTTATGAAGTGCTCACTTCCGTTTTTCTTTGCATTTAAATCAAACTGGCTGAACACTTCAATAGAATCAATTCTGTGGACAATGTCACTTCAGAATCTTTCACTGCAGTGAAGATTTGCACATTCTCAATAGTTCCATAATTGCAGGTTGTGTTCAATTTTTATATAGTTTTTGTAATCCAAAGAATATTTTGCTAGATTTGCACAGATCTCCAAATAAATTTGAAATGAAGAAATAGCTCAAAAGGAATAGAAATAGCACTTGAACAAGTCTGCCGCTGTAAGTAACCCTATCACCATGAATGATCCTTTTTTCTAGGAATGTATTTGCAATAGAGTGACAACTACATTTTCACGTTTTTATGTCAAAGTTTTTTTTAAAGGCTGTCTACTTTTCAATAGTTAAAGATACTTGTTTTTTTTCTTTTTACCTTTTTTTTTTACTTTAAGACTCTATTGTTTGTAGAAACATCTTAGAAGCTTGAAAATAAAATGTCTTTCCCGATTAGTGGAGTCCTTTTTCATTTGAAATATATTGCCTTAAAAGCAATCTTGCTTTAACTAGCATTTCTTTATTTCACTATAAAAATAATCACTGCTTTAAGCTATAAATATAATCTTAAAAATGAATATTATTTCTTCCTCTTGTCCTTAGATAATGGATATTATTTATATTTATCATTCATTCATGCAATCATTGGTACACTCTTCTGCCAAAATCTTATATTGCAGACCCTATGCTGGCTACTTGAGTATGCACATTGAATCTTGGTACCTTCCTTGACATTGTTAAGTCTCTTCCAACCTACACTAAAATATCTATTTTTTATTTGCCCAGATCTACAATTGAATTTCAAAAGCTGAAATAATCCAAAAGAAACGTGAATGGCACGTAAAGAACATTGGTGTCGTGTAACCACTTATACCCATCTGCTACTTCCCTAAACAATGCAAGATTGAGAGAAAAATAATAAAGGATGAGAAGATAAGAGAGCACAAATACATTAAGTGACACATTCAGGGCCCCACAGTATGGATCTCTATGTTAGGTGGGCCCTAGTAAGGAGTGTTTGAATTGCTGTGGGGAATTAGTCCCTTTGTGAGAACTTTTACAGAACAGTGGAATCAAAGTTGGGCATTTTGGATCTGAGCAGAAGAGGGGCAAAATCCTTCTGGCAGGCAGTATAGATGACAGATTGGAAGCACATAAGGCTAGGACACTCCAGGAAGATCTCTGTGAAGGTCAAAAGGAGATATAATGAGGGCTTGAAATAATTCAAGAAATCAGGCATGAAAATGAGAAAAGTCTTGTCTGCTTCCACTCTGCCTTCAGCCTGGCCAGCTGCCAGGGTCTCTGACCTGGAAGACGGCCTTGATGTCTCAGCTGCAGCCCCCGCCCCGTCTCCCCTCCACAAAGGAGGCAAAGGAGCATTTTAAAGAATTCAGTTTGTAAGACTCCATAGTTCGAACACTTCTCTGTCTTCCTAAATTCCTAAAATCTGATTTCTTTCCTTACTTTACAAGAACATGCCCTGCAAACTTCTGCAACTTCATTGTACATCATCCTGCTCTACACCATGCCACATCCCGGGCACACAGGCCTTCATTTAATTTCAAAATGAATCTAAGGGAGATCATCCTTTGTTGGTTCCGTTGTTACAATCTTCACTCCTTCAATTTATCTTGCTTATTGGCATTCATGTATCTGTGTGTTGGTGTGTATGCACACATGTATGTGTGTGAATCTGATTCCCATCTACACGTGAGCTCCCAGAGGGCACAGACATGATGCGCTGGTCAACCACTGTATGCCCAGTAGTGTAACAGGTGTGCAGTGAATATTTATGGAGTGAGTGAAAAAATACTGGTAAGGCAGTTTTTCCAGGATTTGTTGACTATTAGAGAACGCCGTTATGATTTTAAGCTTTTCTCTTTTGGAAACAGAGTCCACGATATTAAGGGTTGTAACTGGAAAGGAGAAATGGGCTTGAGGAAAAGAAGCTGAGCTCCGTTTGAGTGGAAATGTAACTTGCAGATGCATGAGAGACAGGTGGAGTGAGCTGCGAAGCACGAAGGCCGGAAGCCAGGGGCACATGCAGCTCACGGGAGAAGCATCGGATGGGCAGGAGGATGGGATCAGCAGAGAGAGGAGATGCCCAGGGAGTCACTGTGTTGCTTCTGATCGAATTTCCACTTCTCTTTCCCAGTTTTAAAAGGGTATTTCCATGGTGAAGTCCTTCTGGTGTTGAAAAACAATGGTGAATTTAGTTTTATGAATAAAGATAATTAATAAGCATAAATCTCATCCTTGTATGTCAAATGCTTTGAAAAGTAAGAAGAAAGTATCAATTAAGTTGTTAAACCTTCCTTTCATAACGAGCCCTTTGGAATTCATACTCAACACGAGTCATAAACTAGGCATGTGATGTTCATCCTCTTCCTATGAGAAAATAAAGTACTTGCTATTCTCCTCACGTTATACTGAAGGACACTTTAGACCAGAGGCTGAGACATCTTTCCGAAGTATGTACAAGAAGTGATGCAGAAACTTGGTGGAAGGGATTCCATCCATTACCCTCACATTGGTCAGAGGACTTAATATTTGAGCGTAAAGAAGCCTACAAGGATGACTATTGGTTGCAACCAGTGACTTAGCTGAAACATTATTTTGAAAGCTTGAAAGGAATGTGGATGTCCAGTTCCATACATTTAGCTTATGACTCTGAGCAGCCACTCACCATATAGGGTTTATTCATCCCCTTGGGCTCAGCTGCCTTCCCTAGTCACAGTGCTACTGTGCATTGTTCTGCCAGGTTTACATTCTTCTACAGCAGCACTTTGCAAATTACATAGAAAAGAAAGCAAGTGGGTGTTTTATACCCATATGTATTGTGTTTCATACAAACTTGGTATTTCACCCTCTTCATGAAACTAAAAATATGCACAAAAAAGAAGATCAGAGTCTGGAGCTTTTTTTGGTTTTCAATGGACTGCATTAAGAATTGTGTTTTCAAGTCACTGTACTCTTCAGGGATATTATTGTTTTCTGATGATTTCACCTTGACTCTATTGTTGCCTATCCCTTTAAGAAATTGATGTCCAGTACTTGGTCACCTCTCACAGTTTCACAGAAATGATACTGTCAATAACAGATTACACAAAACTCATCTTCAGCTCAAGGGCAAAATAATGTACCCCATACTGGACATAGCTTTGACAGCACTGCTATGTAGAAGGCCAGGCTCAAACATTAACTAGCTGTGTGACTTCATACCTGCATCGTGACCCCTCTGTAAACTTCATTTTCTATATGCATTCAGTGGAAATAACTATTCTTATTGTGGCAGCAGTGGTAAGGTAAAGAGTAAGGGAACATAGTTCTAGAGCTGCTAACAATTTCTGGACTCACTAGAAGGCAATAATTGCATTTCATTTATTTTTATTGCTATTGTTATTACTTTGTATTTTGGCAATATTCAAGATTGAACACAGTATTCTCACTAAGCTACAACCTTAAACTTTTTTAAAAGGAGTATTACTATTCTTACTTTGAGACAGGGTCTCCCTAGGACTCTAAATTACACAGGTTGAAATTATACTATGATCCTCCTGCCTCAGCCTTCTAGAGTGCTGGGATTACAGGCATTTACCACCACACCCAGATAACAGCTACATTCTTAGTATATATATTATTTTCTGAATCTTGGGTTCCTCAGAAACATAAGGAAAGAAAGCCATCCCTCTTACCTTTTGGGTTAGTTGCTTCATAAATTAATATACTCTATCATCACCATCTCTCCAGAGCCAAAACAGAATGTGAATATCTTAACACACCAACTTTAGTACAGGCAGAAAACATTATTAACAGTTTTTCTACCTCAAAAACTTAAAAGACCAATTATCTTATCAATGTATTCACCTGGGTTTGACTAAAATATGTAGAATAATATTGACAAACAATAGGTTAAATGTGATGCAATATTTCTTAAGAAATCTTCACAAAGTTACAGACTGTGTATACTTAGATTGAAGCCATTACTAAATGACATGTGAAACTTAGACAAACATGTCAAGAACTGTATAATATTTGATATTTCTAGTATAAAATTTTTACTTGATATATTTTTTTCTTATTTGTTCAAACATAAGCACTCTCTTTTTAAGAAAAGTAAGTCTTCTCTGAAGGTATTTAGATTTGAAAGCGTATAATTAGATAGTATTTTTATACAATTTCATATAAGTCTAATTGAACTACAATTATTATATCATTTGTTACTCAGGAAATTGGAAATTATTGTATGATATGATAATTCTCTCTCTTTTGCTTTCATCTCTAAACACTACTTCAGATGTGAAGAAACTGGCTGCTTTTTATAACATGACTTTCAAATTACTTTCTCTTATAAATTAGTAAAGAGTTGGCTAGTTTTACAATGCTGAGCTAATAAACTACTTAGGGGCTTTGGAATTACAAACCTTGTCTCGTGCGTGCTGTGTCTCTAAACTTTATGTTTTGCTATTAGTACATTTTTGCAGTTCATGCAGTTTAAAACCATCTTGCAGAGGTCTTTTCTTCAACACCCGTTCCTTCTTCCAAACTCCCTCCCTCATCCTCTAAATCCCTTTACCCTGTTTCATTTTTTGTTGATATTATTAATCTTAGCTCATGTTTATGACGCTTAATATTTTTAACATTTTTATTTAGCGTTTATTCTTATGTGCTTCTAATTCATACAGTTTGCAGTCACCCTGGGAGTACTTAGACAGCTGTATGCAGCTTGTTTAACTCTGTTCTCCTTTCCTCTTTCCTGTCCCTTCCACGACAGTTCCCTGAGGGCCCCCCCCTTTATTTTTAGGGGGCAGCATCTCTCTATGCAGTTCAGGCTCGCTACTACTTAACCAAGGCTGGCCTCGAACTCATGGCAATCCCCCTGCCTCAGCTCTCCAAGTGCTGGGATTACACGCTTGTGTCACCATACCCTATTCCCATTTTTCACACTTGCTGGTATTACTTGTGTTGGCTCATGTTATAGTGTATAGTGTGCACATTAACTGGGGTTATTAGGTTCCTATACGTGGTATAAGTTTATCCTCATTTCCCCTTCCCATCTTCCCTCAGCGTCTAGCTGGGTTCCCTTGCATCATTTGCTTACTGCAGGAGAGCCATTCCCTTGGCCCTTTCTATCCATCCTGTATCATTTCCCCTGTTGTCACTTTGCCATACTCAAATGAGAGACACCATACAGCATTTAAGTTTGTGTGCCTCATTTATTTAATTCAATATGTTGTTTCCAAGTGCACATATTTTCCTGCAAATATCTCAAATTTATATGACACATAATGCTTACACTCGAGCTTATTAGGTTCTTGCTCACAGTAAATCTTTATACCACTTAATTCTCCTTCTCCTTCCCTACTCCTCAGCCCTTGGTCTTCTAGACTCCTTCTTGTTTGCAAGAGATCGGCCTCCTTGTATTCTTCTATCCATCCTTTATTGCACTCCTT